AGAGAGAGAGAGAGAGAGAGAGAGAGAGAGAGAGAGAGAGAGAGAGAGAGAGAGATGCAAGGAATATGAGCGAGAGCGATAGACAGAAATCCAAGTCGCAAAATCACGAAGTAGCTCAGATAGTCATGAACCAAGCAGAGAATGCGATGCACCAAGACACCGTCCAAATAGGAGCTATACAATTAACTCGAATGTCGATGTCGCCACTCTCTGATCACACCAACACTGTATCCAATGTCGCACTTACTGTCTGGCGCCCAGTGCCCAGCCTATCCTACTCAGCCTATTTAGCCTATCTACGCTCTCGCAACTGGACCACTCTGAAGTCGAAGACCAATGTACGTGATGTCAACACCAATGCCGATCACCAGCATACACCAGGTACGTTCTCTCTCCTCTCGTCATCACCCATCGTCTCCCCACATCATGCGCCTCCTACCGAAAGACCACCTTCGCCATCACCTGCCTTGCGCCTCTGCAGCCCAGCTATGGCTGCTGTGCGCCCGCTGCCCTTGCAGCGCCCCTCGCCTCAGCGCCCATGCAGCGCCCATGCAGCGCCCATGCAGCGCCCATGCAGACACTTGTGCAGCAACGCAGCAGCATGTCCGCATTGTCTGCATAGGCCGGAATCCCCTCGCCTTGGCTGGCCTCTTTCCTTTAGGCAACTGCAGCCCCTGTGTGTGTCTGCCTGGGCCTGGCTGGGGAAGTTTCCAGTAGCTTCCAGCCGGGCCCCAGTCTCTGCTCCCAGGCCCACCTCTACAGTTAAGGGCCTGGGCCCTTTTTGGTTGGGCACATACAGATAGCCTCCCAGGGTTGGGCACATTCTCATTGGCTCGCGGAGATTGTGTGACGACAATGCTGCTTTCTCATTCGTCCGTGGCCTGTGGGATTGTGTCGGCCTCACGCTGCGTGTGCCCAGGGCGCAACCACCCGGCCCTGGGCTCAACAGTACAGCACAGTCCTTGTTTTCTGGAAAGAGCCTGGAGGCTCACATTTCCCTGCAACCAACTGGCGTGCTGCAACTGTCTGTGTACCCACAAATGGTTTCACTGGGGCTTACAGCCGAGAACACTTGCATGTCTGTTAGAGCTCCGTGAGGTATCAGTCCTCGCACAGAGAGAGAGAGAGAGAGAGAGAGAGAGAGAGAGAGAGAGAGAGAGAGAGAGAGA